GACTTCCCATAACTCAGTACCTTCAAAATGTACAGACTGTCCCCTAGGAGAAGCCTACGATTAGCCCAGATCTACTCACTGCTTCTAAAGGGGGTGGGGGGGGGGGGGGTGTTGGAGACTGCTCCAGCGAGAGCAACCTGACTACCTGGAGGGGGCACGAGGCTAAGGAAATGGTCCGGCCACGAGTTTCTCAGCCAGCATATATACTAATTACAGGCAAAAGGCAGATCGAAGAACAGTTAACCACCTTCCTGCACTGTCCTTGAGAGGAAGAAGCAAGTAGTCTCGTCTGTCACGGGAGTCCTGCTAGCTGCTGTTTCTTTTTCTATCTGGATGTGCCTTTGGGCTGGCACTCACTAGCCTGTGTCTGAGTAGATAATGCGTTCTTTCTCCTGGGCAAAATGCTCTTTCCCACGGGCTTAACAGAACGTTCTCACAGCCCTCAAGGATCCCGGAGCAGGCCAATAGACTCCAGCTGGAAACTGAGTCATTGTGGGTGACCACACAAAAGAACGTATATACTGCTGGCAGGTAGCCTTTAGGGTGAGACTAAGTCAGGGAGGTAGGAATCAAGAGGGGCGGGCGGGGCGCTGTTTGTGCTATAGAGTGGAGGGAGAGCTTCTGAGGAAGGTCACATACACAGTATTTTGGAAGAAGGGTCAACACAACTTTCTGATTCACTAACAGGAAATGAGGAAAGGGTGATGGGGGGGGGGCTCACGGCTCAGAACATTAAACATTCCAGTTATGGATCCGAGGAGCAAGAAGGCAGAGAAAGCAGCAAGAATTTTGGATAAATATATTATTTAAGATTCTTTTAAGACCATAGTCTCAAGTATCCCTGGCTGGTCTGGAACTTGCTCTGTAGAGACCACCTACCTAGTGCTGGATTATGGTGTGCACGGCCATGTGACGGACACCTGGGGATGGAACCCAGGACTTCTGCAAGCTAGGCAGGCACCCACTACACCGAGCTGCACCCCAATTCCCTTACTTAAGATTCTTATTAAAATTAAGCATTACTGTCGAATCTAGAATGTTGGGCTCCAGAGTATGTGACATCATCGGTGTAAGGGGACAAGTGCACGGAGAAAGAGTCTATGCTGTTCCGTCAGCAAATGTTAGAGGCTAGGTAAAATGCACACACCTTTAATCCCAGCCCTGGGGCGTGATCTCAGGGAGGTCAAGGCCAGACTGATGTATAGAACAGCCAGAGCTTTATAATAGGGGGATCCTGTCACCCAAAAGACCACAAAAATATAAATAAAATAGGGGATATTTGATAAGAAACTGCTGGGGAGGGGAGGGAAAAGTCTTAGAAAGATTGAAAACCACACCCAATTTTCATGAGAATATCTACTATGGAGAAGGATTGTATCAAACTCTAGATCTGTGTTTCTGTGGGGGTCAAAGAAGGAAGGCAGGCATGATGATGTTGACTTTCCTAACATGACAAGGCAAAATTTCCACTTCTGCCATTGTTTCTATCTTGCGGTGGTGCTAGACCTTTGCTACAAGAAGCATTGTTAGGCCCATGCCTACATCTTTCCTTTGTATATGAACCTTAAGCGATAGCTACATCTTATAACTGTGATGGTATAAAGCCCAATCCTCAGGTAATTAAAGCTGGCAATAAAAAGCAAGATTCTACTTCCTCCCTACTCCCCCCTTCCTCAAACCCCCCAAAACACTAGTATGTAGAAAGTCTGGGACTCGATGAGATCTTTCAGGTTTGGGGAGTACTGGAGATGTAGCTCCCATAAGGTGTTTGCCCAGTATGCATGAAGCTGTGTGTTTAATCCTTAGTATGCCTGGAATTCCAGCATTCAGGAGGTGAGGCAGGAGGATCAGAAATGCAAGGTCACCTTCAATACTTAAGGAGTTGAAGCCCCCTGGCCTGGATAGCATGAGACCCTGTCTCAAAAAAGAAAAAAAAAGTTCATTGAGTATAGTACAGGTTGATTAGTACAGTTAGTACAAAACTCACCGCCAGTGAAACTGTTTGCTCTTCTGTATCTTGCCTTCCCTTCTTGCCGTTACACAGAGGACACACTCCTTAGCCATTTAGACTTACGAAGGTTAAAACTTGTGAAGAGGAAACATATGTTCATGGGAAAGACTGGCAGACATGCTCTGGGAGGTAATGGGAAAGATAATTGCTAAAGAAGACCAGCAATAGTTGACTGAGGCATTCTGGGAAAATAAACATAAATTTTTCAAATGTAATGTTTGCTGACTAGCTAATTTGGGGGAAGCAATGGCCTGGTCTTAGCTTGGCTATGACTTTGAGGGCCCACTGGAAAGACACAAATGAATATGCATTTCATGGTTTACAAGTACCACACTTATTTTAAAAAATAACAATTTCTAACTTTAACTGAGTCATATTCTGAGACTTTCCAGGGTTTAGTCCTAAGACAGAATTCAGATTTTAACTCTAGAGTTCATAGCTCTTTTACTTGCAACTTCGTTCTTAATTCTCTCATTCTGCTGGAATTAGATCCTTGACTATCTCCAACACATATGCATTTATTGTAGGACTTACTTGTTTCATTTTATATGTATGGAAGTTTGAACTGCATGTGTATCCATCCCATGTGTGTGCAGTACCTGAGGAGGCCAGAAGAGGGAGTCAGATCCCCTGGAGCTAGAAACACCAAGAGCATGCAAGGAATCCAAAACCTTTATCCTCTGGATAATCAACTGGTGCTTTTAACTGGTGAGTCATCTCTCCAGCCCCAGTTTGTTTTGTTTAATTCAGACAGTCTCCTTTTCATGAAGCTACTTTAGGCATGGTGCTGCAGGTTTGTAATTCTGCATTTAAAAGGCTAAGGCAGAAAGATTGAGATTTTGAGATTAGTCTGAGCAATTTACCTTGTTGTTATTGTGGGGTAGCTATCAGAGAACACTGCTCACACGTGACTGAAGTCAAATGGCAGTCTTTATTAGCCAGCCAGCAACTATACTTAGCACTGAGCCTTTATAGGCTGAACTTTAAAGCACAAAAATCATATTCTCCGTTGATATATTTCAGTTAACAAGAACAATTAGCTAGAAGCAGAAGTACAGAAGCTGAAAAGCAAGGTTTGCACGTTGTGAGACTTTCCCAGAACTATGGGCTTGGATGGACTAGCTCTTTGCTTTCATTTTGACATGCAGTACTGTCTATGAGCTGAGTTCCATGTCCTGAAGAGCATTTCCATCACTGAGTCGTTGTGCTAAGGTCTGGGGACCTGTTCCATTAACCAAATCCAAACACCAATGAACTGGACAAATGGCTCAGTGATTAAGAGCAGTTGGTGGCTCCTACAGAGGACCCGAGTTCAGGCCCCAGCAACCACACGTGACTCCCAACCATCTGTAACTCCGGTTCCAGGAGAAGACCTGGCATCCACTTCTGAACTCCCTGGCTCCAGGTATGACTGTAGTGAACATATATAAACCATACATACAGGCAAAACACTCATACACATAATAAAAATAACAAACAGAACCCAAGCCCCAAGCATATAGCACATCTTCTGCATCTAATGACATTCCCTATGTCCCTAGCTCTTCAATACTGAGCTTACAGAGCACTGGCAGGGAACAGTCTGGTCTTACTGGCTAATTCAGTCGGTAGACTAGGGTAGTCTCTGCTGTCCTAAGGATTCTGCTCCTACTCAGATTTAACTCTTTCTATTCTCCTTTCAGTTAGGAGTTTCCCTTGTTCTCTCTTTCCCTGAAGTCCATTCTTTTCGCCTGCCTCTGCCTCTTGAGTGCTGGGGTTGGAGGTTTGCACTGTACCTGCCTTCCTTCAATCTTCTAAACTTGTGATTTAGCCCCTGTGAAGATCCAAGCACACAGTGATCTCATTGTTATTCAGAAGACTGTGCCGTTTGATTTCGAAACTCCTTTGGACCTGCAGTCCTCTCTGTAGAGCATCAATCGTGGGGGATCTGCTTGTTTTACTTTGCTGCCAGCGCGTGTGTCCTTTATCATTTTAGTTTCCCAAGAGTGGTGACCAGTTTTGGTCCATGTTCTGTGTGAACTTGAAAATAATGTAAACTTTGGATACAATATAGTTGTAGGTATGAGCTATGATTTAGTCTTGTGAGATAGGTTTTCCAAAATTCTTATATCCACAAAGGAGGTTTCAGTCACCATGGTCACTTACTGAAGATTGTATTACTGAAGAGACTATTAGTCTCAATGTTAAGTGGGAAAACACCACAATCTGTGTGACCTCAGAGTAGGTCACACAGCAACTGGCGTGTTGCAGCAGTATACACATGGCACACTCACACACCCAGAGGTTTTAGGAATTACCCTTCCACATCTACACCATCTTTGGTTTACACGTGGTTTTGTCAACATTCCCAAATTGTACATGGCTAATCAATCTGAGGGACTCTGTCAACGCTTACCATCTCAAATATAATTTTCTGTTTGTTTGTTTTTGTTTTTCAAAACAGTTTCTCTGTGTAACAGTCCTAGCTGTCCTGGAACTAGCTCTTGTAGACCAGGCCTGGCCTTGAACTCACAGAGATCCACCTGCACCTGCCTCTGCCTCCCAAGTGCTGGGATTAAAGATGTGTGCCACCACCGCCAAGCCTAATTTTTGTTTTTGAGGTAGGGATGTCACTATGTAGACTTGCCTAGCCTAAAACACCCTGTTTTTTAGACCAGGGTTTTTTAGACCTGGTTTGTAGACCAGGCTGGCCTTGAACACATAGAGACTTGCTTGCCTGCTTCTGCCCTGAGTGCTGGGATTAAAGGTATGTGTCACCATATTAGCCAATTATCATTTCTTCATGCTAGGAAGATTTGTTTCTTAGTTTTGCTTTGTCTTTATATTCTATGCAACTTGAGCTCTCCGACTAATATTGTAAAAATTCTATGTATTTACTGCATTTCTGTGTTTGAGCATGCAGAGGGCAGAAGGTACTTTTTCTGAGAATCACTTCTCTCCTTCCATCAAATTGTATTCTTAACATTTTTTTGGTTTTTCTTTTCCAGGGAGATGGGGTAGGGAATGGTTATTTAGAACAATTTCTACCACCTAGTGTTTGGAAACCGGTATGAAAATGTTGTATAGTTTAGATTCTTTTTTTTAAAATATTTATTTATTTATTATGTATACAATATTCTGTCTACATGCATGCCTAAAGAGGGCACCAGGCCTCATTACAGATGGTTGTGAGCCACCATGTGGTTGCTGGGAATTGAACTCAGAACCTCTGGAAGAGCAGGCAATGCTCTTAACCGCTGAGCCATCTTTCCAGCCTCCATAGTTTAGATTCTTAAAATGACTCAGAGAAAATAAAATCCCCAACAAAGGAACTGACAAGCAAATCCTTTAGATTTTCCTAGTGCAGAAACCTCAGAACACAAGGTTAGTCCTTTGGCTGGCCTAACCCCATTGTTCATGTGTGCATACATTAGTTAGCACACCTTTTTCCTGTCTATTAAAGTAGCCTATCTGGATGAAATGACTTCTATCAGACAGTCGTGGAGATGAGCTGTAGGTGCTCTTTTCCCTTGGCTCCCTTTTGTGCGAAAGCAGGAAGGGTTTAATAGGAATCCTCTTTAGTCCCCCTCCCCACCACTGGTGTGAAGTACTACACCACGTGTTTTGTTTGTTTTTCCGAGGCAGGGTTTCTTTGTGTAGCCCTGGCAACCCAGGAACTTGCTCTGTAGTTCAGGCTGGCCTTGAACTAATAGAGGTCTTCCTGAAGCCTGGGATTAAAGGCACATGCCACCACTGCCCAGTTTACACCATCATAGGATTGGAAGTTATTACCAAAAACTTGCCAAAAATTATATAGACAGGGTCTCACTATGGCTGGCCTAGATATGAAGCTGTCCTCTAGAGAGCAGGGGTTAAAGGCATGAGCCACCGTCAAGTTTTAAAACCCACTTTCCCCTATTGGGCCACATAAAAGATACTTTTAGTTTCTACAGAATCACGTCCTGCCAGAGGCCTAGATGCCTTATTGGAAAGATGATTTATACAGTAAGGAGTTCAATGCACTATGCAGAGGGAAGCTACTTTAGAGCGCTAAAATATCTACAAGCGAACTTGCTGGGAAAGGAAAGTGCTGGAGGACCAATGGCGCCTGCAGTGCTTCCTACCCCCGACCCACTGATAACTACTTAAGGGCTTGATTGTCTCATTTTGACAGGAAGAGAATCAGAGAAAGAAAAACCTTTCTGAAGAGCATTCAGTTCTTGGTTTGAGGGTTAGGACTAGTCTCATTCTCGCTGTCCACGGTAAGCGCTCAGAGAAAAGTCTGCTGCTGCTGTGAAAACGGCACTTAGGGCTGATGCTGACGTTAAGAACACGCGTGGAGTCGGGCAGCGAAATGGCGCAGCAGTCAGGACTTGCAGCCAATCTTCTCTCGCCCCACGCTCGCCGCCGCGAACCACAAGGGGGTGGACGAGACTCCAGCACTTGACTTCTATACATGCTTATAACTTAGTCTACGGGACATTCAATCTTTACCAAACAACCCACAATAACCTAAAACGGGTAGGAATTTGAATAGTGCCTTGAACTGAGTTTCAGATGTTCCTGCTCAGCGGCATTGGGAACTGCCTGATGCCAGTGACTGTCTCCACATCATGAGCTAGGCAGACCTGATTTCCTGATGCCCCAGGGCTGTGAGGGACTACGGCTTAGAAGTGACAGAAATTGGTGAGGTTCACTTGCGGTCGGCTCACACTATAGCAGCACTAATAGATAACAGGGAATACACTGTATCATGTACGTGATGCGACAGGCTGCGCCGCACCCCGCCCGCACAACAGTCTTTGAAATGTCGGTATTGCACCAGAGCCCTGCAGGGAGACAGATTTGCCGCCCCACCTTACCTAAGCAAGAGATCATAGGCCTTTAGTTGTTACAGCTCTTTCTTCGAGAGCTGAAGTGGCTCTGAAAAGAGCCTTTGGGGTAAAGTCGATCAATCACGTCTCGGCTGCGCTTCACTTGGAGCTGGTGTACTTGGTGACGGCCTTGGTGCCCTCCGACACGGCGTGTTTAGCCAACTCCCCAGGCAGCAGCAGGCGCACGGCCGTCTGGATCTCCCGGGAAGTGATGGTCGAACGCTTGTTGTAATGCGCCAAGCGGGAAGCCTCGCCAGCGATGCGCTCGAAGATGTCGTTCACGAAGGAGTTCATGATGCCCATGGCTTTGGACGAAATGCCCGTGTCCGGATGCACTTGCTTCAGTACCTTGTACACGTAGACAGAGTAGCTCTCCTTGCGGCTGCGCTTGCGCTTCTTGCCGTCTTTCTTCTGGACTTTTGTGACAGCTTTCTTCGAGCCCTTCTTTGGAGCAGGAGCGGATTTGGCAGGGTCCGGCATTTTCTTCCACGTTCAAAGAAACACCACAAAATGGAAGAGTCGAACACGAAGTGTTGCAGGACGGCTGGTTATGCGCTACTTATAGAGCCTGTATGCAAATGAAGGATCTTTCAGTACTACGTTTTTATTGGCTACTTTACACTAGCGTTAGCGGCATGGAGGCGGAGCCTACGCAAATAGATCTGGCTGCGCGCCTCGGTGGTGATTAGAGGAAATTCTTCCTAGCCAATCGCAGCCTTGCGTTTCATGTTAACCGGTAAATGAGCTGCAGCTCCTCTTCACCTGTTCTTTATCTGTCTCTCACTCATTGGTGAGTTCGTAAGCACCAGGTTAAACAAGTTAACCCTTCTGGGCTATCATACTTGGTGGTTGAGATTCAGATTAGCTCGGCTCATGTTTCCCTCCAGCAATTCTTCCTGGATTTGGCCGACCCAAACTGAATAAACGTGGGGGGACAGTTCTGACATGCACATGTTAGGTGTGATGCATTTGGAAATATGCTTGAAACCTGAGTTCAGGTCCCGCCTGATCCCGAGTGCAAAGTTGACACAGCTACTCTTAATGAGAACGTAGGTGGCTCTGAAAAGAGCCTTTTTTACGTCGACTTTCTGGAAACGCAACTTAGGCCCGCTCCCCACGGATGCGGCGGGCCAGCTGGATATCCTTAGGCATAATGGTGACGCGCTTGGCGTGGATGGCGCACAGGTTCGTGTCCTCGAACAGCCCCACCAGGTAGGCCTCGCTCGCCTCCTGCAGCGCCATGACGGCCGAGCTCTGGAAGCGCAGGTCGGTCTTGAAGTCCTGCGCGATCTCGCGCACCAGGCGCTGGAACGGCAGCTTGCGGATCAGCAGCTCGGTCGACTTCTGGTAGCGCCGGATCTCGCGCAGCGCCACGGTGCCGGGCCGGTAGCGGTGCGGCTTCTTCACGCCGCCCGTGGCCGGCGCGCTCTTGCGGGCAGCCTTGGTGGCCAGCTGCTTGCGCGGGGCCTTGCCGCCGGTGGACTTGCGGGCGGTCTGCTTCGTACGGGCCATGGCGGAGTCGGGACACACCGAGACGAGGAGCGCCGGGGACCTGACCCGGGATCGAGCCGGCCGACGTTATAGGCGCAGTCTTTCTCGGGCGGGGCGGAGACAGCGACTTGAAAGTCCCGCGCTGCGGGGCCATTGGCCGTGATGTCACCGGCCCCGGGCCGGCCCATTGGCTGGGGCTGCCCCGCCCCCTGGTCGGCCTCCTGACCCCTGTCCAGCCCTGCGGCCAGCAGAGTCGCCAACGCTCACCGCAGGGGAAATAGGGACACCTCGAGTAGCTCCAGGTCCCAACTCTGATCGTCTCTTCCAGAGAGGCGCGCGTGCTCACCCGCCCGCTGTCCAAAGTCACAGACAGAGCTAATTTCAGTGTCGCCCAATGATCGCCCCCTCGCGATCCCGAGAGCTGGCCGCGCCCCGTCGTCCCGAGACGCGTCCTATTCTAGACTTTGCCGGGGATCTGGAGACAGTGGGGCTAGCTAGTTGTGCTTTGCGTCTGCCCTGGGCTCGACGTCGGGGTGGAGTCCCAAGACCTGGGAGGGACAGGAAGCTCTCAGGAGACAAGGGCGGGAAGCAGCGCGCGGGACAAGAGTTTTGCAGGGTGGGTGTGTAGGGCTGACATACGGCATAAAGTGCTTACGAGAGTGTGGGGTCCGCCCGGGGCCAGGAGGGCGAAGAGCGAGCGCACAGACGACCACCTGGGGGACCTCGGATACTGACTGGGAAGGACGCTGGGGACGCATAAGGCGAGCGACCCACGGGACACCCCACACCTTGGGAACGGGCCGCCAAAGGCCACGACACCGGCTACCGTGACACAACTCTTTAATCTGAAGGAGTGGGTGGCTCTGAAAAGAGCCTTTGAGTTCGCGGGCGTCCCGGGACGCGAGCCGCCACGGTGCGGGCAGCGGCCTCACTTGCCCTTCGCCTTATGGTGGCTCTCGGTCTTCTTGGGCAGCAGCACGGCCTGGATGTTGGGCAGGACGCCGCCCTGTGCGATCGTCACTTTGCCCAGCAGCTTGTTGAGCTCCTCGTCGTTGCGGATGGCCAACTGCAGGTGGCGCGGGATGATGCGCGTCTTCTTGTTGTCGCGGGCCGCGTTGCCCGCCAGCTCCAGGATCTCAGCCGTCAGGTACTCCAGCACGGCCGCCATGTACACGGGCGCGCCCGCGCCCACGCGCTCCGCGTAGTTGCCCTTGCGCAGCAGCCGGTGCACGCGCCCCACCGGGAACTGCAGGCCGGCGCGGGACGACCGCGACTTGGCCTTGGCGCGGGCCTTGCCTCCTTGCTTACCACGGCCAGACATGACGAAAAAAAGCAAACTCAGACGCTCGCGCAAACGGGAAACTGCGCGCCGGCGCCGCCGCCTCTTCCTTTTATAGACACAGCCCCGATTGTCCGCCCGACGCGTTCATTGGCTCACACGCGCCCTCGCGCTCTGGCCAATAGGAGCGCGCGCACACAATCCGCTCATTTACATAAGCCCGGCTCCTTCCTCTTGGCCCCGGCCCGAACGCCGAATCACGACGCGCGTGGCCAGAGCCCTTATTTGCGTGCGGCCGTTGTCAATGCCGGGTCCTCGGGGTGCGCCCCGGCCTGCTACACTGGGTTTCTCTTCGGTTCTACCAGGCCTCGCGCGCCCCGCCTCCGACAAGGAGGGCGGCGGTGTGGAGAGGGGTGCCGGGTGTGTGTAGGTGAGCCGGTTGTCTCCG